AGAGGATTAAGAACATTTTCGGCTTGATCAAATATATTAATCACTGGAAAAAGGAAGTGTCAATCCGTCCTTGTATGGTTAGAATCTAACCGTAGTTCCTTTTTGAGGACCCATCTTCCTCACCTGTCAATTTCTCTCCCCACGGAAGGAGCTCCTCTCTCTCTCTCTCCCCCTCCCTCCCTCTCAACCGGGGATTCGTTTATCTATGTCATTTTTGCGTTGTGTAGTGCTTGGCTTGCATGCTGATTGTTGCTGCTCCGATTCGTTACCCAAAGTGGACCTTCCTGTTCTTGTTCTTGGCTCCGGAACTGAGCCATGGCGGCCAAGAAGGCTTGCGAGTCCTTTTCCAAGGGGTTGATCGAGGACGTTCACAGATGGGGTTGTCTCAAGCAGACGGGGGTGAGCTTGAGGTACATGATGGAATTTGGGTCCAAACCTACTATTAAGAATTTGCTGATTTCCGCTCAGTTCCTTCACAAGGAACTTCCCATTAGGATCGCTAGAAGAGCTATTGAGCTCGAGAGGCTTCCATATGGATTATCTCAAAAGCCTGCCGTCTTGAAGGTGCTGCTTCTTCTGTCCCTTTATCGCTGCTCTTCCTACATTGAATTTTTTTTTTCTTGTGAATTTCGTTAATCAGAATTCCTCCCCTTGCTTGCGAGGTAATTCTGTTTGTTTAATCTTATTTGTTTGTGCGGAAGAGTTTTAGATAGTCCATTTCACTAATTTGGCCTTGTTTTTCTTTACCGACTGAGTCGTGAGAATTGAGAGAACTTTCTTCGAATTTGATGAAGTGATATTTTGAATCTGTATTAGTCAATTATATAATATAGTTTCCTGGTCTCTGCAATTGACATGTGAGTAATTGAGTATAGGAAGTTCTACTCGGTTTCGAGGAGCTTGAATACCTTTAACATGGGCTCCAGGGTCAACTTTGCTGAATCTTGTGATTATTATTTTTCTAATTATGGTTTTTGCCTACTTTCCTTTCCTCGACACAAACTGGGCGAGCTGTATGATATTCTAATGCTCACAACAATATTGATTATTATTGTATACGTACATGTTTGTTTCTTTCTTCTACGACTGAATGCTTATACTGTCAAAAATGGAATTTTACTGTGCCCTCAATTTAATGATTTTCACTGGTCTTTATGTTTCTTTCAAGGGCGTGGTTTCCGGAAGTTTATCAACTTTCAATAAAAGTAGCATGTGGGAACAAAACTTGTTTAACTTTTACATAGACTTGTTTCTTAAAAGCCTATTGACCATTGAATTATGTGCTGAATTCTTTGTTTGCAGGTTCGAGATTGGTACTTAGATTCCTTCCGTGATGTTAGATCTTTTCCTGAGATCAAGAATATGAATGATGAGAAAGAATTCACTGAAATGATAAAGGCCATCAAGGTGAGACACAACAATGTGGTACCCGCGATGGCATTGGGTGTTCAACAGTTAAAGAAAGGTATGGATCCAAAGATAGTTTATGAAGATCTTGATGATATTCAGCAGTTCCTTGATCGGTTCTACATGTCAAGAATTGGAATCCGTATGCTTATTGGTGAGTTGATAGAACACTATACCTGCCTTCTGAGACTAAGGATTTAAGTATTTGGTCGAAACACTAAACTCAATCCATGTGTATGTTTTGTCGTGTTTTGTTTTGGTTTTTTCCCCCCCTTTTTTTTGGGTACAGGGCAGCATGTTGAGTTGCACAATCCCAATCCTCCTCCTCATGTTGTAGGTTATATACATACAAAAATGTCTCCAATGGAGGTGGCAAGGACTGCTAGTGAAGATGCTCGTGCTATATGTTATCGTGAATATGGCAGTGCTCCTGATGTTCAGATATATGGGGATCCTGATTTTACTTTTCCGTAAGCAACTTGCTTCTTACTTTCCTGAAGTCATTTGTTTCCATTTCGCTGTTATCTTTTCTCATTTTATCCCCAACCTCGTGTCTCTTTCCGTTTTCTTTTGTTTTTGTCTTACTTTAGTATGGTTATATCATTTTGACTTGTATGTTTTAGCTAAGAAGTTGTCTCTGTTCCTTTTCTTTATAGTTTGTTTATGTATTTTTAACAGGTATGTTCCTGCTCATTTGCATCTAATGGTATTTGAGTTGGTTAAGAACTCACTGCGTGCTGTCCAAGAGCGATTTATGGATTCTGACAAAGTTGCACCTCCCATCAGAATAATAGTTGCTGATGGGGAAGAGGATGTCACCATAAAGGTTTTTTTTTTTTTCCATATCTTAACAAGGACAATTGTAAATTTTGGCCTTGTGTATTGGATATTTTAACATGCCAGCGTGAAATTGCTTCGTTAAGGTAGTTGGTGTGACTGGCATTGTAGGTTTCAGATGAGGGAGGGGGAATTCCAAGAAGCGGTCTTCCAAAAATTTTTACTTATCTCTACAGTACTGCTAGAAACCCATTGGATGAGCATTCAGATATTGGAACAGCTAATGCGGTGACAATGGCTGGATATGGATATGGACTTCCAATTAGCCGCTTGTATGCTCGGTACTTCGGTGGTGATCTTCAAATAATCTCTATGGAAGGATACGGTAAGTAAATCAGCAAAGCTATTTCTAGTGGCTGTCTTCTGCATTATATTTCATTCAGACGTCCTCCCACTATTCTACTAGAGTTCTGCACGGCAATTTTTTGTGTCTTCATTGTATGGTAAAATGGTGGGATAAAAAAATATTTTGAGATCTGATCTGACTGCAATTTAGTATGATTCAGGTGTGTCTACCTTTACTATTGTAGCATCTAATTAGGCCTCACAGAAAATCTGCACCTCCTTTTCTGGCCATTAGATCTGATGCCATTGATTTGTGACGCCCTGTAAATGATTCCACGTTCCCATGGCCGTTGTGAAAGTTGTTTAATTGCTTATTTTTGCAATACAGCTAGGTATTTGGTTGTAAGCATGAGTAATAGCATAAGTCTACTAGCCTTCGCACCTTTATTGGTATAACAGCCTCAAGAAGTATCATATTCAAATCTAAGTTTTTCTATTTCATGTGTTAAGTCAGTCATAAGTTAGTGAGTACAAATACTTGGAAAAGAGTTGTCTCCATCTCTGGCGTCTTGACATAACATGAACATTTTGAATTATGCCTAGACATTTTTGCCCCTAAAAAAGATTAAAAAAAAAAAATTTATGCCCAGAGACGTTTTAAATTTTGTCATGTTGTGATATTCTTATCCATACTTTGCCTCACGTCAATGCCTGATGCTTCATAAGTCATTACTGGGGGATCCATGCGGTAGCTGCATGCTTCATAAATTGCTTAGTTGTATAACTTGACTACTACAATCGCATAATGCGGTAATACGTATCAATCATTTTTCCTGGAAAAAGAGGCAGCTATCCTAAGAGCCAAAGATAAAATAGACATACAAATAGACGTACGTGTGTTTGTATCTTCGCTTGCTTCAACTACTGTGAATTCTAGTAGTTATTGGTTCTTTATTCACAGGGACTGATGCATATCTCCATTTGTCTCGTCTGGGAGATTCTCAAGAACCTTTGCCGTGAAAGTAACACTAAGCTGGGTCCTCCTGACTCCAAGTTACCTGAAGTTACTGGGGCAAGCGCTGTGCAGTGAAAAAAGTGACTAAATAAAATAACAGATTTACTGTCATTTTTCCATTCTACTAATTGGTAGTTTCTTTTGTAGATATGCCACAATATGATCCTCGAAGATTATGCCTTAGAAATGATTGTCTAGTTTTTGGCATCTTGCCCAATCTCGTTCCTACACGCTCCTTGTCCTCAAACTTGTATTATTCCGCCCCTGTTGGAAATGGAATTTCTGTCGTATTTGACGTTGATAAAAGGATTTTATTACTAGGATACTTTATGATTTCAAAAAACTTTGCATGGAAAATTCCTATGCGATATGTAGAACCTATCTATCAATTAATCTGATAAGGAAAATTTTAGAAGCACGGGTCCACCACCCCCAAACAAAGAAATGGTGTTGATGAAGACGAGGCGGGTAGACTATAAAGAACAAGTTACTATTGACTCAATGATTGTCTCTGTATGGAACCAAGTTTCCTTCCTTGTTGGGGCGCCTGGCGGTTGTTAGTAGGTTTATTGTTAAGGATTCCATTGTCCGAAACACAATGGGACGTGGGTGTCTGCGAGCACCATACGGTCATGAATTGAGACAGTTGAATTCACTTTATTGGTGGTTTATTTTTGAAAAAACATAATTTTAAATTTTTATACTTTATTTATATTTTGTTATAAGTTTTTATATATTTTTATAAAATATTATAAGTCTTTACACTTTAATTTTTCAGTATTCTCAGTGTTTTAATGAACAAAATATAAAGACTTAAAATATTAAGAAATAAAAGTGTAGAGATTTGAAATATCCAAAAAAATGCAAGAACTTATAATAAAATATGAGGTAATTGCATAATTTAAAGTTATGTTTTCCTTTTGATTTTTATTTAATCAAATTGTAAAATTAGCGAAATGACAATTTATCATCCAAAGAACACATCACTTTAGTTTGAACTATCAAATATTAATTTCATTAAGCGTTTTTAGCTCTTGTCGATAGCTTATGCAAAATATCAAGAACCCCCCACGATTTGTCAACTGAATTTTGCAAGAGAGAAACAATGCTCTCTTTCAAAATCATGGCAGGAAGCATGGATTTGTGATTTGCCAGCAGTCATATAAAACATCTCTGTTTACTTTGAGAGATTGGACATTTCTCAAGTTGATCTTGTATACATGCCGCTTTTTTGGCAATAAAATTTTTATTGGGAGGAATGGACAACCAGTTATACGTACAATTGTGGGTGAAACATGAAACCAAAAAAAAAAAAAGAAAAGAAAAGAAAAGAAAAAAAGCACGTTGATGCCATCTTACTTCCATGCTATCTTAAATGCCAATGAACTAAATTCTACCAAAATCATGAAGGGTCCTAATTAATATTTTTCCAGCCAACTGATTTAGATTTCAATCGTAAACAAAACCGAATAAGCTACTTGTGTTAAAATAATGTAATCATATCATAAACACGTTGATGTCAGTGGGGGCAAGGAATGACAAGGGAATACCCAACCCTTCTCCACGTTCTACAATAAAATACAGCAATGGTATTGAGAAAACATTAAACAACACAAAAAAGCAATGAAACTGCAGCCATCACAGGCCTAGTTTAGAAAAATTCGATATGCCAGACAAGTTATGATATTTTTTAGAGCAGTAACTATTGCATCTACCTCCAGGGGGAAAAAAAATACTATTGCACCTACCTAAAAGAAGGAATGCTGTTCCTTTCCCTATCCTGACTTCATAGTCATCCCCCGGGGTAGGGGGGGCAAAATCTCAAGAGAGAAGATACTTTTGTGTTGCTTCGTGACAACAACTGCATGGCGTTGCCATTGAAACAGTGTTTAGTTTCACCAAGGAAGAGATTCATTAAACCCTACTTATCTTGGCCCTTCTTTCCTTGGCACTAATCCGTGAATTCTGACCTTTTATCTTCCACTTGTTGTTTCCACCTGGTTGGTTTTTCTCTTCAATCTCTCGGACCTTCCGCTTCCTGAAATAAAGATGATAAACAAGCAATGTGTAAATAACCAAGAAAGCGTGAGAGTCTTCCCTTTGAATGCACAAGTCCGTCCTTAAGTGCTTATCTTCAAATGTTTAACCTGCTAATTATATGAACCTCATCCAAGAGAGGCCTCTTTCTTTTTTATTTGGGGATAAAAAATACAAGAGGTATACTTGTGCACCATGCAAAGTAGAATCGTTATCCATGTGCCTAAGGCTAACATTCTTCCATCATCAAGTGCAATGCAAGAGAATTTTTCCCCCCTATGTGAAACAAAAGATCCATTATGTGGGGAAAGAAGTGAAAACAACCATTTAACTTGCCCTCCACTCTACCTAACCTCACCCAAACCAAAGGGAGAAAGGCCATAAACTGAAACCTACCAAAAAAAAAAAAAAAAACCAACAATGCTACCTCTGTACAACAAAAGGCGTGGTGAGTGAGTGAGAGATGTAACCAAAAAGAAAAAAAAAAGTGTGATGAGAGAAACAGCTGTTGAAAAAATGATTCAACAATGATGCCATTATACTCGATCAACTACAACTCTTCAAACGTATCATTTACTTAATTCCGGAGCATTGTATGGTGATTGCTTAAAAGAACCGGTTATAAGAGGTTGCCACATGGCCACACCATTTTAAAGGCTAATCAGCCGCAAGTTCAGCACTCAAACTTATAATGGGATAAAACACTGTTAAGCGTATGGTGTCAACGTTAAAGGTTGCAGTGGAGCACCTACAAAAATATAACTATAAACACCATTCCCCCTCTAAATGAGACTTTTGATCACACGAGTGTCACTTGTTTTCTTCCTAATGGATTCTGACATTTAATTTATGGCTGTGAATCTGTGATATATCCATGTGTAAACTCACCACAATATACATACAAAATGAAGACAAGTAATCTTGCACCATCATCCATGAAGGGAAATATCGTGTAGCTTACCTGTAGGTTGAAAAAGCAGGATCCGAAAGCAGCTCATCTGCAAGTGTTGCTTTTCTCTCCTTCTTTGTCAATCTTGCTGAGAAGAAGTCTTCTGAAGACTCCACAACTGTTCCCACCTGATTATGTTCAAATGATTTAAATGCATAAGCTATTAAGCAGCTTGAAATTTTGACGGCACAAGTTATATAAATTCTACATAATTATCTATTTAGATTAAACAACTGACTTGCCTGGAAATATTTGGGTAACGTTTTTGATTTTGAATCACCCTTCTTGTAGTGCCGTTTGGGATCAATGGCACCCCTCAACTGTAACCATCAACATATACCATTCCTCTTAAGACGTACGAAGGCTAAAATAATAGAAATGAGAAATAAAACAAGGAATCTAGATGTAAATAGATAGATACAGCCAAATCTGGGATTTTAGCAAATTAATAATAATAAATATAGATTATCAAATGCTCCTATCCTAATACGAACTTGACCTCAACATTTCTAGTGCACTCCCAGTTTATAAATCCATGACCTGGTAAGGTGTCTGTTTTGTTGATCTTTTCAACTTAAAGAAAATTTCAGCTTTAAATGTATCCACAAATTCTTTGGTTATATCACAACGCATCCCACTAGTTTTCCATGATTAAAGTAGCCATAATATACATATAAAAAAAGAGAGAGGGACATGAAAGTGCAGCTTATTTAACCACATCACGTGCAACGATCAGATCAAGCTCACTTAGAGAGGACAGGCAAGGCACAAGAAGTACATTATTTTCTTTCTTTGTTTTTTTTTTTTAAGTAGAGGAACGAAACAAGTAGAAAGTTCTTTTTCTTTTTCTTTTTCTTTTTTCCTACGTATTAAGTGCCCATATGATTTTCTTTTGGGTATCAAATGGTGCAAAGAAACTAAAGGCGGAAACCGCATATCTATGTGTATTGAAACCAACATAGTAGCAGCAAAGTGCCAATTTTATCTTCCAGTATTTGAACTTTGAAGAATCATATCTTTTGAATAGAATTACATACTTTGCCCGTACTGGAGTAACCGAAAGTGGGTTATCTTGGAGAGAACATAACATTTAACACACTTCCAACGAAAAAGGAAAAGAAGAAAAATTAAAAATTAAAAATATTGAACCTTCAATAGCTTCAGATCTTTCTCCAACTCGGGGGTCATGATTTGAGCAGGCAAGTCGAACCTGACAAAGATACGAAAGAAGAAAAGAAAAACACGATAATTTTCGTTTCAAATCACAAGTATAATAAGTAGCAGGAATGGAAGAATACCAATTTTTGCCGGCTGTATCTTTAACTTGCTTTCTGAGTAACTTATTCAATTTTTTGGGGTCGCTGGGCGGAACGAGAAGGCCATCCACAAGCTCGGAGTTGGGTTTCCAGATAGCGCTACTAGTTGCGTCCGGTTGAGATTTGTTCTGAGAGACATTTGTTGCTGTCGAAGAAGAAGAAGAAGATGATGGAATAGGCAACTTAGGTTGCCATGAGAGGCCAACTACTGGCTCGCTCCCCGGCATCCTGTCCGGCGACAAAGGTGAAGGACACTATGGAACCAGCAACTTTTCCAAATTCTTTAATTAAAATCCTGAATCCTTAAAAATGTACAGACATGGGCTTAGGTTTGGACCGATAAAAAGATGCCGTGGGCCCATTTCAAAAACAGTCCACGGCCTTTCTCCTGAATGTATTATAAACAAATAAGATTAGTTCAACCCAAATTGGCGTGAGTCGTAGGAATTATCAGTACTTAAATAAGTAATTGGACATTTGAATATTGGTTCTTTCATATGTAGCAACTTATTTAAAAGAAGTATATCAGTTGCTCTCAATATCTTGGATGAAATAAATCTTGCCATTGACAGAGCCTATTTCTTTTGCCTTTATATATATATATATATATATATATATATATATTTATAAAAGATTAGTTCAACCTGATAGGACATAGCTATGGTCTAATCTAACGTAACTTTTAGAAACCTGTTAGCACTAAAAAAAAAAAAAAACCTTTTACATTAGATGAGAGAATGGACTCGGTATCAATGAGTTTTGCGATTAAAAAAAAAACAAAAAACAAAAAACTTCTTCCCATTTAAAACCTGATGAGAGTGGAATAAAAATTTCTTGGTGGTTTCATATAGCTGATTAGTTGTTGCAAAAGGGTATTTTGTAACTTTTCATTTTTTTTCATTTTGTAGTGTATAAAGCATAGAAAATGAAATTAATAATTTGTTATTCTATTTGTCCTAATACATGCAACGTTGAGTTCAGATATTTTAATTAGGTGTCATAAAGTCACATGTTCACGATATTATATAAATAATTTTAGGCCGATGGAAAATATAATATAAATATTATATCATTTACATAAAAAATTTATTTTCAAAACTGTTTCATTTTCAATCTAATGATGGTTGCAAATTGCTTGCAACCATCACTATCAACCTATTTTTTAATTGTAAAATTATTTTTAAACTAATATAATTAAATAGATTTTTATTGTTATCTTGAAAAATAATTCTAAAAACAATATTACATAACAGTTTTTAAAAGCAAAAGCCAAAATAGACCCTAAGTTTGTGTACTTGTGGAGTCATTATATACTTTAAATTTTGTTAATTTTAAATTTTACTGTTAAATTTATTGACTTTGCAAACTATATGATATGATATCTTGGCAATATAGCATAATCAAAATTATTCAATTGTATCCTTTTCGTTAGGATAAATAATTTATATCCAAGGTGTCAAAATAGCAAAAGTCGCTTTATAAGCACGATTTGAAGATAAGGGCTAAATTAAAAATTGTCCAAAACCATAACATTCTAACACCAAAATTTTAATCAATAAAATAAGATTACAAAGACCAAAAAAAAAAAATCAGTGTTTATATGTCTTAAAGATTTAATCTTTATCATTATACTTCTGGTGTGTTAATTTTTAAATGGCTATTATATGCCATCTCAATCAAAACAGTTCTGAATTACTAAAAGTACTTACAAATGTAAAGTTATTAAAAAAATGAAAAATATAAATAAAAACTGAAGGTTGGCAAAATAATTTAACCAAAAAAATAAAGGGGCAAAACTAGCAATTTATAGCCCATTATCCATGATACTGAAAATTACTATGGATAGCCTTCTTCAGACATATTTATCTCAATCCAAGGAGATGTGGTTTGGAGCTGGAAAGGGATAAAACAAAGAAGACAGATTCCATCTCAACTGATATTGCTTTCAATAGATAAAAATAGATATCCAATACATGGCTTGTGAGGAGAAAGTTTTTCATATTTTTCTTCGCAGAATATTAGTAGTTACTACTAGTAAACAATGATACATGAAACCTGATTATTACTCACTCAGATCATCACCAAAATATTTCAGATCAGATTCATCGTCAGTGGCGGCATCCATGTTAGCATGATCTCCATCCAATGATCCTACGTCAACCATAGCAACCAGCTCAAGAGACTCCTTCACAGGCCTTGCACCTCCATCTTCATAATCAATCGAATCGTTTTCGCATTCATCATCTTGTTCGACTCCAAAACTGATAACCTGCGAAGACGACGCAGAATTCAATACACTGTCAGGAGCTTCACTGCTGAGGAGAAGCTAAACCTTGATGGAGAGGATGTTTCCCTCATCAGTAAGATGGTGAGGAATTTCAAACACAAAGACTTGGAAGTTTTATGCATGAGAATGACAGCAATAATGCGAAGTCAAAACATGCTTATGGCAAATACATCCCATTTCATTCACATTGATGAACAACAATGTGCTAGAGGCAAAGAAAACTTTTGACGGCTGAAAAATGTAGGATCTGCCACAAAGCATGGCATGACTTCATTTGGCCAACTCAACTACAATTTAGTAATGATATCTAATGGACTTTCAATTAATGTTTTTTTCCCCCACATAAAGCACCTGGTATCCTAAACCTATCCCACATCGATTGGAGGGTACTTTAACAAGGGCCAGACTATTCCAGATCAAGTTGGGACAAGACCCTTTTGGATGGAAGCTTTATCACCAATGCTACTGTATTTCCATCACTCAAACTCGAGACATCTGATTAAACTAATACAACCCCCATACTAGTTAAACCAAGTGTCTGTGGTTACTTAATGCTTTATTAATACTCAAGCAAGTTCACTTTCAACACTCCCCTCCAACACAAAAAAAAAAAAAAAAAAGACCTGCAAGTTATATGAAACTGCAAAGCTGAGTACCTTTTCACCACCAGCGCTTTGTAGGTTTGCATCATATATCCAATCCTCAAGCAAAGTCTCTTGCAGGACAGTGTCAACAGAGACAGAGCTCGAGTCCTTGGACCTTTTTCTTAACTGGCATTCTCTAAGTCGCAAGTTGTAGTGAACATAGATGAGATCATTCAGTTTCTTCTGGGATAAACGATTCTGCCTTTTACTGTGTATCTGATCATATATACTCCAATCATGCTCACACCCAAAGGATGAGCTTGTCTGACTTAATATGCGCACAGCTATTCTTTGCAGTTCTAAGCAACTTATTCCATGTTGTTGCCACCAAGCAGCTGGGGATGTAGAACAGAAGAACAAATCAACACAAAGCTAATCTAATGAAAATAATCATGCATATCTATCCATGCATATAAAGGAATCTGTATGTGAAGCTTTTAGAAGAAAATGCAGCAGTTTGCCTGGTTCAAGCTCTGTTCTAGTGCTGATTGCCAGTTCAGTTCCAAGATCAGCCTTCGCAGAATTATAATCAGAAATCTGGAAAACGTAAAAATGACAGTAACTAAGGACGTTTCTAGTAGCTTTGTCATCATACAAGAATATCACCAAGGATATCTAACCTGCATTGATGCTGAAATCCGTCTCATGTTATCTGGCTCCAGCCGCACGATGCATTCATTGAGTCCACGTACCACCTCAGAATGCTAGTCATATAAAACAAATATTTACTTCAGGTGAAAAAATGAAGAAAAAATTTGCTTCCAATAAAAAATATTCAACATTCTCACATACCGCCACAAAATCCGGACGATACCGGTATGATGGATTTAAGAAGTAGGCAGCCAAATAAAGAGGGTGATAGAAAAGAGAGTTCCAGTGATTGTCTATCACCTTCCAGAATGGTTCATATTTATGAGCATCATCACTGTGAATGGCTTTGATTGCAAGTTTCGCCCTGCACATGTCATTGTATATATATGGCATTGACAAGCATTCGCCACTGAAAAGCTTTTGAAGTACTTGCATTATTGGGTCTACTGACTTCCTGACATACTGCATTTTCTTCCAGAATGTAACATTCAAAATAATTTTTTCCACCTCCTTCCCTTCAATCGTGCCTGAGAACCTAGATGAAAGCCATTTGTTTGATGTAAACATTCTTCTAAGACCAACTCGATGATCCAGCAAGCTTTGTAATGTAGAAAAGCTAGAGGCACAGCGGGTGCCAGCTGGCTTTAGAAGCTCCTGTCCCTGAGTAAATTCACTCTTCATAAGATTTAACAACCATATTTGATTGTATATGAGCCTTGTAATTTTTTGGCCCTTTTCCATGCACTCTCCAACACATTTTATCTTCACAAAATCTTCAAGCATCCTATCAATACAGTAGGCAGCACATGGGGTCCAGAATAAGTTCCTTCTCCTCTCTTCAAGCATTTTCCCAGCAGCTTTATAGCTGGGAGTATTTTCAGTAATTACCTATATCAAAAGGGGGAGAAGAAAAAAAAGGATAAATAACTGCTACTAGATAGATGACATTGAGAATGAGGGAGGATACCACAAGATTAAAAAAGAACAGAATACCTGCACTACACTTTCCTCGCCTATCTCTTCCACCACTTCATCTAGAAGCTTAAATAAATTTGATGCATCTTCTACAACATTAGTGGCATCAACTGAAGAAACAAAATAAACACCATGAGGACAAGAAACCAGAAAGTTAATTAAAGTCCTACCCTGGGTATCTCTCCAACTATCTGCCATTATAGAACAACCAGTAAATGCCCAAGAAGCCTTATAATCAACTAGGTAATTCTTAATTGTGTTGATTTCCTCCTGAAGAAACCGACCAGAAATTAGTTGGCTTGGAGGGCATACCAGTCCTTGTCCATATTGACCAACTACTTCCAGCATCTTGTGAAAGTATATGGAGTTTGCAGCCTGTAAAGGAACCCCTGCATGATAAAAGAACTTGCAAATTGTTGAAATAACTTCCTTGCGTGATTTTTTAGTGGGGCCTGTCTTAACTTTTAGTGGTTTGTAAGTTTGAGGTGTCTGGTTCTTTGGCAATTTCAGATAAACAGAATCCAATCTTGATCTTCTTAATACTGGCTCAGGACCACTGCTAGGCGACAAACCCTTAAAGTTCTTTCTTAAATCCTTAGATAATCTCTTGTCAACATCTAACAGAGTTTCCTTGTTCAAATGATGCAGTGCATCATCACCTTGCTCATCTTCTTCCTCTTCATTATCTGACTTTGAATAGAAAACTGGAAAGTCCTTGGCCTCAGGTCGTCGATGTCTCCTTCCAGTGCGATGCCATTTCATATTCTCTTTCATCTTAAGATAAACTTCCTCAGGAGCATGTTTACAAGGTGCTACCTCTCCAGGAATCCTTGCCAGATGCTGTTTAAACCGATTTATACCTCCACTAACAACTTTTTCACAGTAATTGCACTTGACTTTCTTCTTTCTCTCATCCTGAGCAGTGCCATGCTCCCAACCTGGGTCAACATATCCCAATGATCTAAGAGGAGTTAAATTTACAGAAACATTTCTATCAACCATCAACTGCTTCCCTTTGCTTCTATACCCAACTCGCTCTTCCTCATCTTCCTCATCATTAGAATGGAACTTCAGATATGCTTGTGCTTCAACTTGCTTTTGTTTCTTATTGGAACGGCATCCTTCAAGGTTTTCCTTCATTTTTTGGTAGACTTCTTCTGGAGCCTTTTCACAATATGTTACTTCCCCAGAAACTCGTGCTAGATGCTGCTTTAATCTGTATATGCCACCACTAACTATTTTTCCACAGTAATTACATCTAACCTTCTTCTTCCGCTCGTCTTGAGCAACGCCATGATCCCAACCAGGATCAACAAATCCGGTGGAGCGAATTGGAGCCATTAGTTCAAATATTTATCCAAAACAGAAATCCTCCACTCACATCTGAAAGAATGCTGAGTCCAAGGAATAAAAGTCCCACAATTATAACATATCCAGAAATCTAAGAGCTTTCCCTGTTCCAGTGATCAAGGTGTGCACTTCTGTAGGAAAACTGCTGCCCAGATTTCAGAGCTGTAAATAGTATAGCCAGAAAATTTAAAATGCGTAAGCCATGTCAGAATAAAGACAAGTAGAAAGACAGATGGGAGACGTTTAAGGGAAAAATAACCTATATCATTGAGATGGTCTTACAGGTGTGTATAGAGGCAGTTTGAAACAATTCTATTGATGATGAGCAAGAGAGAAATTTTGAAACATGCCAGCAAGAAGCAAAAAGAAGAAACATTACAGCTATGATACATTTGACCTGTCCTCTCCAAAAAATGGAGCTAACCTTATGTTTATTGCAGCTGTTGATCAAGTATGTGATCAATCTGCTACTGTGACCTGGACTATGTTTTGTATCAATTCTGCTACTTTTCAGGGATGTCTGTCATATATATTACCAAATCGTGACTATTTTTGTAACTCTGAGATGTTTCAACAATCCGATGTATCTTTTGCCCATTCTATAGAAAGGATGGGAAAAGAGGGGTAGGGGAGTTCAATTGATAGGCTCTACTGTGAGGATTAAAATCATGCCATAAAAAGTATAGAAAGAACAAATAGCAACTACAAAAATAAAAGCAAACTCCTTTGCTGTTTGCAGTAGCTGCAACTTAAAAAAAAAAAAAAAAAACTTTATGAGTGCGTTGCCAAGGAAGAAGGTGCAAAGCGAGGCCTTGTCCTGGAAACCAAGAGAAGAAAGACATCCCAACAACAGCCAAGGATTAACACTTAAGTGTTTAGGAATTAGGAGATATCAAGGGATGATTATTGTAAGATGGAATTTGAGAGGATAGTATACTGTTAAGAGAATAGTTAATTGAAAGTGGTTACCCAATAACTAAGAGTTCCTATAAGCAAAGATATAAGGAGTTCCAAAAACATCTGAAAAAAAGGGCAACATTTGGAGATTAATAACTGCTTCAGAGAGCAACAAGCACTTAGATTCTTTTGTTCTCTTCCTTCACATCTTTCCTGAAGCTCTATTAGCTTGGTGCTAGCAATTAGCATCTGATCAACCCAAACCAAAAGCAACAAATTTAAAAGTGTTTATTTTCCAAAGTGTGTGTTCTCCAGGTAATCAAGTTAATCCATATATCCCACTAAACGCAGGACAAAAAAATACATGAATCTCAAGCTGAAATTCTCAGCAGCTACTAATATCTCTAGCATAACCAGGAAAACAAATGGAAAATAACTATTCAAACATGAGGAGGGGGCCAAAAAAATAATGAATTTAATTGAATTTATGATCTCGGTATTGCGGTTCGAAGTTCAAGAAGAAGAAAATTATTATCTGAAAATTTACTTAGTAAAAGAGAAGAGCAAGAAATAATTGAATTTAATTAAATTTACCATCTGGGTTATAACAAAAAGAAATGATGAGCAAGAGCTTTTCATTCTAACGATATGAGATAACATATGTGACGGGACGGAATCGGAATCAGAAAAACAAGCAGCTAATGGTGAAGGCTAATATCTCCGAAGGTTTCTCAGAATTCAGAGAGCAACATTCTGAGGAATCGCAATCTTTTCTCGGAACAAAGAAGAAAACTTCAGGTGCGTTTGTAAGATCGGAGTTTGATCGGAGAAGGAGGAGAGGCCGAAACCGCCTGGGAATCGTGAGTCGCGAGTAGATGGCTGGGTGAGAGGCTCCAGAGTCAACTCGACCCGGCCGTGTTACCCCATTTTCTCATTTTTATTTTTATTTTTATTGTTACAACATTGAGCACTTTTTTTTTTGAGAATTAATTGAGATCCTTATTATAATTGTCATTATTTATTATCACTATTTTTTAAAACATTTTCGTAACTTGAAATACAAATTTTATGCAGAATGACAGAAAATAGATTCCACACACCATGGGTCTACTCATTGTCATTCCATATTTCTTTTAAGCAAAAAGCACTATATTGTTCTCAATTTTATTATAGATAAAAAGCTTCAGAATGTTGATGACCTAAAATGTTTTTAGAACCCATATCCTGATGAGGATGTTACCAATTTGTTTTAGATTTACTTAAATAAAAAACTTACCTGAGTTGACTCAGCGAGTCTAAAGGAAATTTGATTAATAAACTCAATGAGCCATTTATTTTTTTTTAGAAGTATAAATTTTTTTTTTTTTTGTTTTTTGCTTCTTTATATGAAAGTTTTACTCTATTACTTATAAAAGTAAGGATTGCCAGCCTGTATAAGGTTCGGCTAAAACGTGTGAATCAACACCTATTTTACAACCACAGTTCAACTTACATTCCACACTTTTTTTAATTGATAAAGAAAATTAGCTTCATATATAGCATGAAAATATAATTTTTTTTCGTCTAAGAATAAAATAAATATAAATATAATGCCCATAATTAATGATATTCTTAAAAAATGTTAAGCATAATTTAATCTAACCTATTATAAGACCACTATTTATGTCCGTTCATGACAATGACATGAATTGTACACTTTCTCTTCCTCATTTGATATTGTTTGTCTTAGTCCCATGATGTCAATCTTTCTTGTAAAATTCAGGTTAAAAAAAAAAAAAAATTCTTTCTTGTAAAATGCTAGTTATTCTTTTCTGCTACTGAGACAACACCATAGCCATTTATCAACTAAGCAGACAGGTAGTTATTCGGTTCATAAGCAAAATCAGCAATTTAGCATCAAACAAATTTAAGGAATCAAATTTTAAAACAATAAATACACTTAAAGATCAAAATATCAATTTGACCGAAAATTATGCACAACATCTGCTTGTGGCAATTTTATGATAATAAGAATACATGTATATTATGCTCTATGCATGCTGTTTTCACCTTAAGGTAAGGCATAAAACTTTACATACAGAAATTCTAGCAATACATTACTTCAAAGTTTAACAGTTACCAATAGTCTCTGCATGAACACTCTCCATTGCTAAAGTGGTGGAAACGGTACCTGTCCCTTATTATCATATCACGATCAAAAAGCTTTGAGACAAGTTTAATTGCTTGGTGACAATCTCTACAAATCCTCAGATTCTTGGTGATGCGTAGAGTTTCACCTTGTTTACTTCTTAACAAGCCATAAGCAACAGCAAGTTTCTCACTGTGATACAACAAGGGATTCTCCCTTTCCTCCTCAACAAGGTCATGCAATGCAGCATCAGTGCAAGGAACATAGCCAACCAACCTGATTGATTCCAATATTTCTTCGAGTTTGGTGTGTATTGCTTGAGCTTGAAGATGATCTGGATACGGATGAGCCGTTCCGCCTGCAATGAACTCATTCACAAGTCCATCCATTTCAATAATGGAGAAACCTGGTTCCTTCTTCACTCCCCTTTCATTCATTAACTTTCTCACATTAGAAACATCTTCCCATCTTCCAGCATTAGCATATATGTTAGCCAATGTCACATAACGCCCACTATTTCCAGGTTCTAGATCAATAACTTTCTGGCCTATCTTCTCCCCTAACTCAACATTGTTATGGATTTTACAAGCTCCAAGAAGGGCACCTAATATGCTTGCATCAGGAATCATTGGCATGTTGTCTATGATGTTTCTTGCTTCTTCTAGCATTCCAGCCCTGGCAAGCAGATCAACCATGCAGCCATAATGCTCTTTCTTGGGTTCAATATTGTGGACATCAATCATGTAATGGAAGAAATATTGTCCCTCCTCAAGTAGTCCTGAATGAGCACATGCACTGAGAAGATTCACAAAGGTGATGCTGTCAGGAGCAACATTTTCTTCCCTCTCCATCTCCCTGAAAAGCTTGATGGCTTCTTCTCCTTTTCCATGCATTGCAAGCCCTCCAATCATGCTGTTCCATGAAGAAACTCCCTTCTCAGGTAATTTACTGAAAACTTCAAATGCCTTCTCGAGACAACCACACTTACAGTACATGTCAATGATCGTTGTAGCAAGTTTCATGTCCAATTCTATCCCAGTTTTCTCAATTTGTTTATGTATCCACTTCCCCTGCTCTAAAGCTCCGAGTCCTGTGCAAGCAGTTAATATACTAGCAGCGACAAACTTATTCAATTCCACTTTTTCCTCCTGCATCTTGTTAAACAAAGCAAATGCTTCCTGGAAACGATTGATTTGAACACAAGAGGCAATCATGGCGTTCCAAGAAACAGAGTTCTTTTCCGGCATAAGCTCAAACACATCGAAGGCATCATCAATGAGTCCCCATTGAGAATACCCGGTAATCAAAGTAGTCCAAGACACCACATCTCGAACAGGCATTTTGTCAAACACCTTTCTAGCTTCATCCAAGGATTGAAAATTCACATACATAAAAATTAAATTGTTCTGGGAGACCCTATCAGCTCCAAACCCGAATTTCACAACATGGGCATGGACTTGTTTTCCTTCCTTAATAGCATTATCAACACAGCAAGCTCTTATAACAGATGGGAATGTAAAACTATTGGGTATCAGAGATTCTTCGAGCATCAATGAGTACAAGAGAATGCAATTTCTGGGCAGATGGTCCCCCAAATAACCTCTCATCACGGTATTGTAGATAAACGCGTCAGGGTTTGGAATAGTGCAGAAAACTCGGAGAGCATAGGGGAAATGACCATTTGAGGACAACGAGCAGAACTTGATTATGCGTCCCATAGCATCGTTGTTAGTTGAGAGGCCGAGTTTAACAAAGAGAGAGTGATGTTGCTTGAGTTCAGCCATGGTCGAGCATGACTCAATTCTATAATGGGTTGGCAAGTAAGGGTTCACGGAGCTAGGCTGGAGGATCTGCACGTGAGGCGAAACCATTCTCAGTCTTGGACGGTCATGAGGGAAGAACCGCTGGTCTTTGACATTTGGGAGAATTTCAACGAAAGACAGAAATTAATATCTAAGCATTTTCAGTCCCACTTGTTTTTGTTGGAGACACGACCTGTGATCAATGAGCAGTGGATTTTGGTAGGATGATTCAGGAAATCGGGACATTAAAGTAGTCGTTTATACAGATTTATTATTTATGCAGGGAGAATGATACAAAAAAAAAATCACTGTTAAATTTTTGATAATTTTTCAAAAAAATAAATTAAAAATATCAATTTAGATAATTAGAAATTCAAAAATTTCAATAACAAATAATGTATTTAAATTTTATATATAACTCAAATGATAATTAAAATTGTTGTTGGGGATATTTATAATTTATTTTTTAAAAAAGAATTTGAGTTCCTAGCCATAATTGATTTAATCTTTTAAAACCTTGTTGACATTTTCCCAATCAAATTAATCATTACAATGATTATTGTATCTTGTATATTTAGAGACTTGAATGCATATTTTTTTCCATCCGCTCCTCTGTCTATTTTAAATTGATGTGCAGTGGGAGATTAGGAAAAGAAAAGGAAAAAGAAATCGATGGGTTAAGGGTTATGACATGCTTTGCTCCTTTTATTATTTTTGAATTACATGGGAAAGTTAAAAGCTTGACATTGAATCCGTAACTTTTCACTTCTGTTAAAAACTTAGATGGTGTATAGAGGCGCATTTGGTGGATCAGAAAACAAAACTCCGATTTTTATTACCAAAATTTAAATATAACATGATATGAATTCACCAAAACCTTTGCTGGAAAAACGGGTCATGAATGTTTTTCCTTGAATATACAGTTCGAATTGCAACTCACTTTACATATAAATGCACATCACTAACGATTAATGACTTGAATTACGAACTACATTGCTATGGACACTTTAATTCATCTACTAAAACTACGCGACCTCCCAAGGGAGAAGCAAAAAGAAGACATATACACTGGATGGCTTCCAGCTCAGTTCTCGAAGGCCTATCCACTTACGAGCGCTCCGGTTCTCGGTGGAACCCCCAAATCATTTGACAACTTCTCGCACAACTGTATCATATCACACGAGACATATATATATATATATATATATATAACATCAGTTTCTGGGTTTGGGAAGACGAGAGAGCTATGAGGCAGTGAGAGGGAAGCAGAGGGTGAACCTGTCTATATACAGAAGAATCTCCATAAGATTTCCTCAACTCTACTACGTACAATGATGGGCTTATCTCAAAAACCTGCCACATTTGAGCAGATGATCGTTTCATAAACCCAAACAAGACTAGGCATATAACTAGCAGAAATGAAATTTTGAAGTCTTGACAATGACCATAAAGAGAAACAAAACGAAGGTCGTAAGTAATGCTCAAAAATGAAAATTATGACTGGCATTCCCATATGATTTGTCTTTTTATATTTACATTGGTCTACTGATCTGCATATTTCAAATCATTCTGTTAAAGTTTGACAGAATCTAAGGCTAATCACTACCTCTGCTGCAACTGTAAGGTTGCCTAAACTTTTATGCCCCTTGTTCTCTCGTATCACTTTCACCTGAAACAATAATCATACACTGACGTTATTGCAAACCTAAAGGCTCATTTATTTATGATGGTAATGGAGAAAGGTTTTCCTCATAGCATAAGCAACGATACGAACCTTTTCATTTTTCTTTTGAACTGTAAACCCCATTTCTGTCACAACGTCCTCAAGCCTCTCAACCAAGTCTTTTGCGGAGAGGTTGGATGTAAATCTTATCTTCCTCTCAGAGACGTCCTAGAAATCAAAAAGTGTTCGAATGTGTGTTGGAAACTTCCTTCGGAAGCGACAAGTGGTTAGAGATAGTAGAAATTATGCCAAATACTTTCACACTTACCTCTTTTTCGAAGAAGCCAGAGAGGTCAAGGCATGAAGACATCCCTATCAATTGAAATGCGTTGATAAGGGTTGGTGATCCTGGACTCCTATCTTCTGTTTCGTCTGCCTATTCCCAAGAACATAGCTCCGGGTCATATCCAAAGAAAAATTAACAGCCAAAACAAAAAAAAAAAAAAAGGGAGTAGCAGGTATACACATACCACTTCGTGGATGGAAAAGGCTTCATCGTCAATATATACGTCCTCTTCCTCATCCTCTGGCTTTGCTGGAATATAGTCCTGCTTGAACCATTCATCTTGTTTGATGCCAGACATTGTTATCCGAGTGGAAGGATTGGGATCTAGAATCCTCTTGATCATGTTTTTGGCACCAGGCGATAGCCATTTTGGCATCTGAACATCACCTTTGAGAATCTGCGCACCGTCAATTAGAAATAAAAAACAAAATCATAATCTTATAAATATTTATAGTTTACTGAAATTATTTAGTAATCTTGGAAAAGGAGAGCAGACAGCCAGAATTTGTATACCCTTTGGTAGAGAACTGCAAGATTTCTATCATCAAAAGGAAGATATCCTGTTAAGATAACATACAATATGACCCCACAGGACCATGTATCTGATGTTGTACCATCATATCCTTTATTAGAAAGAATCTCAGGGGCCACATAGTTGGGACTTCCACAGGTGGTATGCAGCAAACCATCTGCCTGAAATTTTCATACAGTAATCACAAGTCGATGACCAAATAATGCAGTGTGAGAATACATATTTACTATGGTAAACTACGTAACTAACGCATCGCTTAAAAGAACACTTACTCTGAAATGCTGCGGTAAAGCACTAAGGCCAAAGTCGGTTATCTTTATGTTCCCTTTGGCATCTACAAGTACATTCTCCAGCTGCAACAACATAGCATCATTTTCTCAAGTATGAGTGCAAGGCCCATATAACCCAAAAAGAAAACTAGCAAGAAATTATCGCAATTGTTCTTAAGAAGCTAGGGGGGATAACCTTGAGATCTCTGTGGAAGACCCCTTTATCATGACAGTAGCTAACACCATCAATCAACTGCTGGAAAAGCTTCCTACCTTCAGCTTCTGGAAGTTTGCCCTTGGATGCCTGTGAAAACAACTTATCTCATTAATTGCCATCGCCACGTGGTTGGCTGATATAACTCATTCCAGAAGATATAATGGTCCTTACAATTCTGTCAAACAACTCTCCTCCAGTCACGCACTCGAGGACCATATAAATCTTGGTTTTGCTAGCCAAGACCTGTGCAATTACAGTTATAAATCATAGTCAGAAGATTTTGGAATCAAGACTTTTTAAATGCAGGCCGATAAATAAATCATATATATATATATATATATATATAATAGAAATATTTTGATTATTAGAGTAACTGATCAACTTTTTATGGAGTATATCTTAAATCTTAAATTTTTTTAAGCAATGAAAGAATCTAATTAACGACTTCTCCATTTTTGCGAGGGATATGCCGATATAGAAAGAATGTCTTATCTAAGGAAACGATTGGTACACTTCTCATGACTTAATGCTCACCAGTCACCAAACCTTAATTAATTATCAAAGAGACGCGAAATATTTATCCGCGGGAACCATGAAATATTATTTCAAAACAAATCGTAAGACGAAAATCAAATTAAAACTTTAATTTAATATTTCAAAGAAAAAAAAAAATCCCAAAAGGGGGTCACCCCCTGCATAGACCAGCAGGCACAAGGCATCCACAAAGGTGGCCCACCTCCAAGTAATCGTGCGAGTTACGTTAATTACCAAATCAGCGCATTAGAATTTAGAGTTTTTTATTTGCCGCATTTTAACAGGAAGCAAAGGTGGAATCTAAATAAGCATCTGCATCAGATGCCCGCCGAATCCTCATCGGATGAGATCAGGCGAACTCCGCGTCAGAACACGTAAAACTTATCAATTTAATTAAACTGTGCCAGGAAGTACCCAGAAAAAAAAAAATACATAGATTCCCAAGTATAAATTCTACAATATATAGAATCGCCCAAAGTTTGAAAATTCATAAAAACAAAAGCCGGATTCCTCATATGTGAAAAAAAAAAAATATTGATTTAGCCAACTTGCATAAATATTTGGCATCAAATTCAATTATATCCTCTTCTCATACGTGCCATGTTGTTGCTCACACATAAGCTAAACCTTTCAACCCCGCCATAATCCAACATAATTCAATTATATCCAATATAAGGAAAATTCTTTGTGTCAGCCATGAGGTCTCGAACCATATTTACGCGGGAATTTGGTTCACTGCAAGTTCAGGCGTGCTCTTCAGTACAACCCACATTGTCTTGCTCGGCTCAAGAGTCAAGACATAGCCATAAACGTAGCATCCAAAAAAGAGGAAGCTAAGACAGACATAATGCTGGCAAAACTTGAGCGTACATTCTATGTTATCAAAGGTAAATAAATTAAATTAATTATATATGTTTTTAAGAAAACTACTTAGAATCATATTGGACTCCAACTAATCTAGATCATGCCAAGCTGGACAGAAGACTAACATTTTTCACTAAAACCAATGTCAGAAAAATAATGTAATTAATATAGTTTAGTGAAGTAAAATTTATATCTAATATGCTATCTCGTTAAAAATATTTGAGTGATGTTAACTCTTCATTCAGATAAAAGGGCACACAGAATGTACAATCACGCAAAGTCTAGGATGGAATCCACGCAGAAATAAGACAGCCAAGTGTGGACGTCTCTGGTCATGATGGCGAGGGAAGGGGCGGGTGGGTGTATATAGGGAAGGTATCGTTCGTTTTTGTCGTTTTATTGAAGAATTTTCTGGGAAAATTCATTAGTAATTGGTATTGCTGAAAAATATAGATTTAGGATTTTTAAAAAAGCCACGAAATTAAGAACAAACAAAATCAGGGCTTCCATGATTGGTGCAATCTTTTTACTGTACACCCTCGTGATCCACCATTTCTGCAGAAAATGGTTTGGCAGAAGACCCAAACAAAAATAGCACCATACTAATTATTTTTGGTGACAAAAAACATTATCTGTGGCTTCTCATTCCATTTTTTTGGACAACTAGTTCCTTATTCCATCAAACTTTGAATCTGTTGATATTAATGCCGAGTAGAATTTTTTTTTTTTTTTCCATCTATGAGATTGTACCTCGTGTAATCTGACCACGTTCGGATGCTTTAAGAGCTTCAAGGTGGCTATTTCCCTCTTAATCTGCAATTCCCCACACATTTACATAAGTCGGATTGTAGCTAAAAGCTTCTGCTAACAGATAATCATATAATGGCAATAGCTACTAGCTTGAATCAAAACCAGATGATGGACCAGAAATTTGCAGGTCGACTTCAAATCTGGATTTATACCTACGCTCATAAAACTCTAACCACAAATCAAGCCGGGAAATTCTAGACTGTTCCAATTACGGATTAAAGCAGGAGAAAATAGAAGAGAGATCAGTAAATTAGAAGTGAAGCATACCTGATTGGTTATATTGAGGTCAATGATCTTTCTCTTCTCGAGGATCTTAACTGCGAAGGGTAGGCCGGAATCGGTATTCCTAGCTAATTTGACCTTTCCGAAATTGCCTTCGCCTAAAGTCCTACCAAGCTCGTATTTCCCAAGTCGCATTCCCTGTCCTTGCTTTTCCTTGTCGTTCTTGTTCCCAAGCTTCACGATCACCATCACCTAACCACTCCGGTGCAGATCCCACAGTTCCGGCAAAAAAGATTCAATATCCTTTTGCCGAACGGATTGTCTGCTGCTGAACCTCGCCAAAAGCCAAATTTGCAGTAAAAACAACAAAATCAGGACCGAAAGATAGAGCACGCAGCCTAGAGTTTGGCACTTGCGTTGCTCGTAATTTTGGGCTCTGCGTTCAGAAGCTTGCGGGTATTTAAGACGCGCGCTTGAAGCTGAAACGTCCGTTCCGTGTATTTTTTTTTTTTTTTTTTAACGTCTGAATGCTGAGAAAAATGACTAATAGAGCCCCAGTATTTCATCAATTGTCAGGGTCAAAAAATTATCATCCATTGACAATTATAAATCATAATTATAATTACAAATTTGTAATTCGTCGGAGTTATAGATGATTTATTTATCAAATCAATCAAGTTTTATGTAAATGTGCACTTAAATTTTTCGTAAATATATTAACAGGCGTTCATTTTGTTAAAAAATATAAGGTATTTTTAACCGAATCTCATCTTTTAATAAAATAGTTACTTACTTCTTTATATTTATTTTTATTAAATATTTTATAATAAATATAAAGTCATTCATTAATAAGAGTGCTTTTAAAAAAAAGCGATAATTATACTTTAAAAAATTAAAAATATCTTAAACATTTAACTTTTTAAAAAAATATCTTATATTTTTAACTTAAAAGAGTATTAAAATCTTATTTTTCACCTTATACAGATCAAAATTATATTATTGATATAGAGCATTTCTCAATTTATTTATTATTCCCTCATACCTTGAGATTCATGCACTGACAGGATTGGTTTTTTTTGCTCATAAATGAACTGTATGTTTATAATAAAAAAATATAAATAAAAGTATCTTCGTAGTTTATATTGTTTTTATGGTTTTTTTTTTAAATCATGAATATCACAGGACATGTGATTTTAATAAAATATGCCAGATTTTTAAAATGTGTTAAAATAAAGTGAAAGTCCTTAGCCAATGATTTGGAGCCACAACTCACAAATCACAACACATTATTTTATTTAACCCCAGTTACAATACCTTCACGTATCTTCCCCTAGTTAATCGTTATATATGTAGTATTTAAATAAGAAAGGTGTATTGAATTGAAGGAGTATAAAACCGAATCTGGTGACCACGTTACCGAATAGCAGAGGAAGTTTATTTTGTTGTGATAACATTATCAAAGGAATGCCCCACACGAAACAGACGAGATTTGTATATTATGACTAGTAATCCACAATCATCATTCATTCATCATGCTCTATAATTACCCATTCTCTTCGATTGTGTCCCACGCCTCTACTGCTGAATACTTCCACACGTATAAATATGTACACACACATGTTCCCTCCATTCTTTGTGCCGTTGTTTTAAGACCTGAAAACTAATTTATATAATTAAAACTGGTTGAACCACCATCCTGATAACAAAACGGCTCGATTTGACTCGTTAATTTGTTTTAAGAATGAGCTTGTTTTGAATCTAGTGAGTTTAATGGACTCGAAATTGAATCTAGAATCCAAAATAGTTGGATCACTTTGAACTGTTTTTTTCTTTTTGTTTTTGTTTTAGTAATAATAACTTTTTATTCAACTTAAAAAGATTAATGTCAATTTCCTTATGAATTGCGATATTAAAATTTTGAATGCATAATTTTTTTTATTGGCATTGTATAGATTAAAATATAAATAAAATTGAAAACCCGTTTGTTTTAATAGGATAAATGAGGTAAATAAAAATATTATACATATGAAAAAAGTCAGGAAATTAAAATTTAAAATCTTATGGCTGAACAATTCTGAAATGAAAATGACATTGTTGATATTTTAATTATATATATGTATATAGATATTATTTTTATTTAATTATTATATCATTAGTTCGATTATCGATTTAACCTGTTGAACTATGAAAATCGTGACCTATTAACATTTCTGATTTCTTGTACAGTTTTTAAACCATTGTTTTATGGTAAGAAAGTTTAGATTTCTTTTACATGAATAATAAAAATTGTTAAATTACTTTATACTTTATTTATCGAAAAAATTGTCTTAATATATGTCTCAATAATATTCTTATTGATTATATGAATGGGGCAATTTCATAATACCTAGGCTTAAGTTACAAGAAAGCTATTTAATAATTTTTTTTTTAAGGCATCTTATATATGGGAGTAGGGAGGGAATATATTCATTGGAAATATAATAAAAATGTAACAAATATTTCATATGATGTCTGATTAAAAAAAAAAATCCTTTGGATACCTCATGAAAAAGACCTGAGGTAGAGGTAGTATGTAATTATTGAATTCACAAAATATTTATGTTAATCAATCAATTAATGTTTAATAATATTTTTTCCTTATACGCAATAGGAGGTGATCAGAAATTTTAATCTTCATCATTTGGGCAATCACATGGTGCAAGATCACTTGAAGAACTTTATTGCTTGAGAATTAGTGTTAGTTAGGGGATCAAAATTATTTAATAATGGAGATACCTTAAACAGATTGAATCCTTGAATTATGGATTTCAAACTTGTTGGAATAAGCTGGCCAAGGGGTAAAAATAATAATAATATACATTCGTGATTCGCGTTTTTCACCGGTTTCGTCATGTTGTCATGTTCTATCCTTTCATATATTTTTTCCCCCGTTATGGGACCCTCCAATGTCAAGCTTTTAATTTCTTAATTCTTAACTAAACTTTTATGTCATCAATTTTCTAATCCTCCTAATTATCTTACCCTCTTTTGGGTCTAATCAACCACATGAATTAGGAACTGAACCCAGGTCTCATGGGTAGTTTCTTCTTTCTGTGAATTCTCCTCGTGTCAAATTCGCTTTTTCCCCCTTCGCGTTGCCCAATCAGTGATTTTCTTAAATTATTGCCCGTCTTTATCTCACCACAGTTAAAATTGACCTAATCAGGAGTGTTTTTCTCCTTCTTTTTGAGTGCTGAATTTGATTTGGAAGGAAAAGTCTCACGTTAAATAAAATCAAGCTCAATAATTAATACATAATAAAATTAAATGAAACATAAATTTACTTACTGAAGTTTTGAGCTAAGACATAGTGTCCTTCATTTATTTTTCATCAATTTATTATCTTCCTTGCACTTATTAAAGTTATTGAGTTATTTAGAACTTATGAACTTACATTTGAAAAAAAAATTATTATATTGTTCAAATATAAATAGACATGAATTAGTGTGAGAAATATTATATCAGATAAAGTTAGTTTTAATAATAACTAATATATAATAAAATTAAATAATCCATAAACATGTTCTTCGGCTACTTTCAATTTTTCATTTTATTCTCCTTTTCTAGAACCAATAATTCAGACAAACTCAAATAAATTAAAAAAATATGTTTTGAAAATACATATGTATAATATTAATTAATATTTTAAATTTTAGTTCATTTTATAAAAAGAGACCATATTTTTAAGTATATTATATCTAAAAAGAATAAAATGTTCACATTGTTATGTTTTTATTATTTTTAATTTATAAACTATTTAAAAAATATTTAAAATATATTTTAATATTAATTTTTAAACTTTAAGAGTTAACAAATTTTTTTTAAAAAATTGAGTGTTATATTTTTTTAAATATCCCAAAAGTATATTTTACATTTTCTATAATATAAAAATATTTGATTTTAAAGATAACATTGAATTTTGTTTAAAAAAAATCATCAATTCAAGTATTCAAGTAAACTCAAAGAGGTTAGAGTGAGGCTTACTATTTGAATTTTTTTATAAGTTTAGGCTTATTCAAAAGCTCGGTTTACTTGAATTGCTGGCTCTATTCTACAGAGACATGATATAAAATTATAAATGAACCAAATATTTTTCCTTTGATCATTAAACAAAAAAAAAACATATAAAAGTAGCACTTCAGTCAAAAATAGGATATTGCCGCTTTTTAATATTATTTTTTAACTGATGAGAATGAGAACTAAATTAAGTTAGTGTATGAGAAAATTGCCATTGCATCAACTTTACACCATGTGATTTGATCTTTCTACAAAACAATCCCATCACCTCATATTTTATTAATGATCAAGGACTAAAATGTCGTTTGTCAGGGTTATAATAGTAAAAGAGATGAAGTGAGACCTCATTATTGTTAGTTTTAACCTGGTTGATAAGAGAAAAAAAAACATAAGATACACTAATAAGATTCCCTTTTTAATTAACAGCATGGGTTGACATTTAAAACATTAGGGAAATGAAAACGTTACACTTCATCAGTAGTCTAGAAAGTGGTCCTAGTTTCGGTGGGAAATTGATGGCAAAATCACGGCCACACACAAAGCATGAAGAATTAAAAAATGAGCTAGCCCTAAGTGTAGGATCAAGCTTTTAAATCTTACCATTATATTATTGGATATGATTGACTTAGGAGAAAAAAAAATTGTATCATTAAAAAAATTAATTAACAACAATAATTACGTCTGAAAATAAAAAAATTAAATTAAAATATTTTATATTAATTAACATAAATATATATTAATTATTTTTTATTAATGTAAATTATAAAAAATATTTAAAAAATATATAATAAATATTTATTAAAGTATGAAATTTTATTTATATAAAAAATGATAGTTTTTTTATAAAAAAAAAAAGGACAGTACAAGAAGGAAAATGAATGGAAGCAGGGTACGAGACCCACGAATGAAATGAAAACAAATGCCTTCAGATGTGGGACCGCACCGCTAAAATGTGCATGATACGTCACTCCACCTGTCCACCATGTAAGTGATAATTATATAATTAATTTGAGAGGATATTTTGGCAAGCAATTATATATTTCAAAATTCTAGACTATTTAATCTTTTTTTAATATATTTTGTTATCTGCCATTTGCCTTATGCATGGCTGTATGCATTTATGTTGCCATCAAAATAAAGAAGCATTTGCTGAACAATATATTGACTTGTCATTTGCTCGATGTATGGAAGATATTGTGATCATTGGAGAGATTTAATATTAGAGTATATCGATCTCTCTGACATTTAACTAAATATGCAGACAAAATTTAAATGAATGTTAAGGGAATTGTATGGAGCCCAATAAAGTAGATAAGAAAGATTTTTTTTTTCTTCAAAAAAATATCATGACAATGTTTGTGATTCGTGAATACTTCGCATAGCTTTTATGATTTATAT